AAGTGAGAAGCACCTGGGCCGCAAGGGCAACGAAGGGCCCGCGGTAACCATGAAAGAGAGAACAGCGGTCAGACACCGACCTGCGGCGCGGCCGGCGACAGCCCGGGCAGCATGACGACGGAGGAGAAGGGAGGAAGGAGAAAGCACGATAGCCTGCTGGCCGCACACGGCACGGGGGGCGCCGCTTGCAGCCGGAGGCCCCGGGAAACCTTGGAGGCCTGGGCATGCTTGCGAATTCGTTGAATCCGCTGGCCACGCAAGTTGGGCTTCCTCTGGCGTGCCTTGATCTTCTTACAATTACAAGCTCGACGCGCACGAACCCCCGCGTCACAACCCGAATCGACCGCCTGGACCGCCAGGGTGGCAGGCATACCAACCCCCCGAAGGCGCGCAACAATGAGCTCTCCGAGCTCGGGGCAGAAAGCGACCACCTTGACTTTGGCCAGACACTGACAGCTTCTGGTGAGAGAGAGATTCAGCGAAGGGCTCTCCGATTCCGTTTAGCTGGCTCTCTACGCTGCAACAGTGCCTTCTCCTCACGGCGTCATCGACCAACGCCCAGCAAAAAAAAATGACGGAACCGAACGCTTGAGGCCACCTGAACGGCCGCCAGAACTGGTCCGAGGAACACCTCGGCTAGCTCAGCACTGCGACCTGTCCCCGCCACTTTAGAACGAGCGGGAAACGCTAAATCCGATGCGCGGGACCTAAAGCAGATGACTTTTGGGGGCGAGAAACATCCGCGCCTCCAACAAGGTGGCCATCGATAGGGGGACCCCTGAGCCACAAGAACTAGCACGACCAACAGCATACTCACGCGGTCGTAAAATTTCTCACAGGGTCGTGAAATTCCTCGAGAACGACATGGAGGGAGGCGGAGGCAAATCCCTGTTGGTGGGGAGACTCATCTAAGATAGCCCTCTGCAAGGCAGCTCGCAAGGACGACAGCCCACGGACGGCGGGCCCCAGAAAACTCCCGAAAGTTCTCGGACCACTGGTCCGCGATGGGGGCCCGAACGCGAGACCAGACTCCCATGGACTTCGGATTTTTTTCTCGGCATAGAACGTTTGGCGCACCCTTTTATAATCGAAGTCTCCGCCACCCCGCGCGGGGCCATGAGTGGTAGCGACAGCACCATAGATAGAGTCAGCGATCGTCATACAGGAGCCTTCTGGCCCGAGACTTTTCCGCGCTCCTGTTGACCCAACGTGAAAGCAACGTCCGTGTCGACACTCCCGTGTCGACACTCCCGCGTGGACTTCGGAAGGACCCAATATGACTCGATCACCGCCGGGCGGTTTTGGAACGGAGGCGCCGACGGGGCGCAGCAGCTGCAGAGGCCACGGGCCGTGAGACTCAGCCGCCTCGGGGACGTCCACGAACTGCTGAAGGCCAGCCTTCGGAGACCTCTGGAATGTCCAGCGGGCTGAGAGCGTCAACGCCACGGGTCTTGCTCCCCGACGTTTTCCCGACAATGGATTGGGCCACGCTGTAATCGAGGGGCGCGATGAAATGCCCCCGAGCGCGGGCCAGAAGATGCTCCATGCACTCCTTGATATCCCCGCGGGTGGCTTGCAGGTCGGCCAAAAAGTCGCGCCTACTCCAAAGCTTAACCTCCATCATCAAAGCCGTGTGTAGAAGAAGAAAAACGACATAAACATAAATTGTTGGCGTTCGGCGCGGAGTTCTTATCCCTGCACTGGACGCGGAGCGCGCGAGGGGCGGCGCCGGAGGCGCCGCCGGGGGCGGCCCAGCGCGGATCCAAGAAATCCGCGCGGACCACCAAAAGGGTTATGCTTATGGCGTGAATTACTATTCGACCAAAGCCGGGTCTCCAGTAGCACCTTGGTGGGTCTCAGACATAGCGATGAACGATGGACGGTTTGTTGCGCCAGCTGCCCCGAACCCACTTCACGAAGGCAGGCACTGGAGGTTGCCAACGCCCTGCCGCACGATCTGGCCACTCCACGGCCAGCTTCCACACCCAACGGCTGAAGGTCGTCAGCGGACCTCGGCGGGCCCACGGCCTGGAGGAGAAGGAGGAGGAGGAAGAGGAGGAAGGAGGATGAGGAGGAGCACGAGGGGGGAAGGGCAGGAAGGGGAGGAGGAGCAGGAAGAAGAAAGGAGGGGGAAAGGAAAACGGGCGGAGAAGGAGAAGGAGGAGGAGGAGGAGGAGAAAGAGGAGGAGAAAGAGGAGGAGGAGGAGGAGGAGGAGGAGGAAGAGGAGGGAGGAGGAGGAGGGGAGGAGGAGAAGGAGTAGAGGGATGCGGAGAGGGCGAGGCGATCCGCATAAGGGGGTGGTCGTCCAACTGCAGCAGTGAGACTAGAATGCCCCTGCGTGAATAGTACGCAGCCAGGACCCAACAGCTTTTCGACATCGCATCGTAGCCAGTGCCTGGGCCTGCGCAAGGGCGGATCACGCGGCCTTCCCTCGACTGCCCCCCTACTCCCGCCTCCACCACAAGCCAACGCGCGGCCCGTTCGCAGGGAGCCCTGCGGCACCAGACAGTAGCCCCCCGACGAAACCAAGGGGCGCGGCGTCGCTGGCACCGCGTCGCCAGTGGCACGTGCGAGCGGGCCTGCGCAAGAAGGAAGGTTCCCTGAGCCCCTCCTTAACTCGCGAGCATTATTCTTCTCTACATCCTGCGGAGAAGAGGACCGAGGACGAGACAACGAAACAAAAGAAGGGAAGACTGGGCGAGAAGGTCTTTACTCTGAGATGCCCTCGCTAGCGCGCGCGGCCCTCCCTTCGAGGTTAATTCAGCATTCTCCTCCGCGCCAAACGCGCTCAATTGAACCCCGGTGCTTTCCCAGTCGGAAAAAAATCCCCACCGGGTAGCAGTTGTGCACTTGTCTCCCATGCTGGAAAGAACTCCAATGCTTTCCCATTCCGAAAAAGCGAATTCCACATCGGGCAAAGTGCGAACTGCGCCGCTGAAGCCAATCGGTGCCGCAATTCATCCGCAGAAAAAAGAATGCCCAATATTGTTCCACATAATAGAACAAATGCCGCCGAAAGTTCGCCCGCTGCGCTTCCGCGCCCGCTCTTCGATGACAGACCCTTCAACAACTGTTTTTTTTTACCACTTGGAGGTCAGAGGTAGCCCCGTTGGGACATGTTGCCGGCCCCCTTGCCTCTCCCCACTCCTTCTCCACCCCCCCGCACCTGCACAATCCCTTTTGCGAAATTCTAGTGTTTCAGTAAATTCTCCAGTGGACATCCCCCCTTCCGCGCACAGTGTGTGCACAACGCACTGGCGAAAGTTTCCTCAGTGGGTCGCTGTCAAACTGAGGAATCCCAGACGCGCTGCGACCTCAGGGTCACAATTGAGGAGGATGGGTTCCGAAGGTCGTCATCGGCAACAGTCGGCGGCCTCTGAACCTCGGGGCATCCATCTTCCCAAACCTCCTTCGCTCTCCGGCGAACAAACGAGTCTCCTGGGACAACGTGTCCAGATAATTAGTTCGGCCTCCATCGTCCCAGATAACCTTCTCGTCCGTCTCACCGCGGGAGCCCATGGTTTTCGAGGTTCATTATCGGCAATAGCCAATGACCCCCGAACCTCGGGGCCTCCATCTTCTCTCGATGTCCCCTGCTTTCGTCTGCGCCGCGGCCACGGGGCTCTCTCATCGCCTCTGGCACTGCAGTGCTTCGACTCGGCGCTTCCCGAGGCGACTCGAGTGCAGCGGCCCCCTTTCAGGGGGGAGCTGATGGCCACGGCCGCCCAGCCTTGCCTCCAGTTTCGTTCGGCGGCGAACAAGCGAATGCGAAGCAAGGCCAATCATATTCCGTCGGCGAGACTGATATTCGAACTCCTGCGACAACGTGTCCACTCTGGAAGATCCGCTAGTAATTGAAACGGGTTTCTCCTGGGCCCGCGCGGGCGAGGGCGCCGAGGGGAGCCGAGGCGGCTCTGCAAACTCCCCCGGCAGCTCTTCCCACTGGGCCCCACAGGACGCAGGGAGAGGAGGGAGCCGAGCAAGCTCTACAAACTCCCCCGCTGCCGTGAGCCCTCTCCTTTCGTCTACCTTGCTGCAGGTCGCCTCGACGTCCGTTCCCTGGACTTGAGCAACCATCGGTTCACACATTGCAATCCTGGCAAGCTGGCATTTCCGCGCGTGGGTGCGGCGGGTACGTTCTCTGCGTCTTTGGCCCGTCTTTTCTTTTTTACAGGTCACACTCCAAGCTTGTCAAAAGTGCCAACATGCGGCACAAGAAAAATCCATCACTGGTTCACGACCCAGCCATCCTGGGAAAAGGTCGCAAAAAGGAACGGTACCGGAAGGGCTGCAGAGATTGTTATGGTTGTTGTTCTCCTTCTACCCCCCTGGCCCTGGCAGAGCAGCCCGCGTGGCTGTCAGAATCCGTAAGTCTGAGCTCCAAACTTGACTAGGAAGGCGGAGAAAGACAAGAAGGAGGAAGAGGAGGGCGAGCGAGGCACCGATCACGGCACATGCGGCGAGGCGAATGTGCCCGCGCCCGTCTGGGCAAGGCGCGCGAGGTCGTAGCCTGTCAGAAATTGCGACTAGCATGCTCGCAAGTCCACTACGATTGCTTCGCTGCTTGCAACCATGTGGTGTCATTGCTGTTATAGTGTCGGTATTGTCGTGGTCTCGTAGTGTCAGTGGTGCCGTGCTGCGTAGCGTTGCCATCGCCCGGCCGCGTCTGTCTCTAGGGCGTCAGATTAAAAAGGAGGAGGAGGAAGAAGAAAGGAAGAAGGAGGCGAAACGACCCATAGGAGGAGAAGGAGCTCCCACCACGTCCATCCACCCACCTCGCCTACCTGCCCGCGCGCCCGCCTTGCCGCCGCAAGAGAGAAGGAGAAGGAGAAGGAGGAGGAGGAGGAGGAGAACGAGGAGGAGGAGGAGGAGGAGGAGGAGGAGAGGGGGGAGGAGGAGGAGGGGAGGAGGAGGAGGAGGAGAGGAGAGGAGGAGGAGGAGGAGAACGAGGAGGAGGAGGAGGAAGAACCTCTCCCACACACCGCGCGCGGGGGCGAACCGCAGCGACGACGCCCGTCTCCGCCGCGGCCCCCAGCTCGGCCCTGCGCACGGCCGCGGTGCCGCCCTGGTGGCGGTGCACCTCCCGGAGTGCCTTCCAGGGGGGTGTTCCTGTTTCTCCTATTCCTCCGCCTTCTCCTCCTCCTCCTCCTCCTCCTCATCATCATCATCATCATCACAATCACCATCACCATCACCATCACCATCACCATCACCAATCATCATCATCATCATCATCATCATCATCATCATCATCATCATCATCATCATCATCATCATCATCATATCATCATCATCATCATCATCATCATCCATCACCATCACCATCACCATCATCATCAACATCAACATCATCACCATCACATCAATCATCATCAGCATCATCATCAATCATCATATCATCATCATCATCATCATCATCATCATCATCATCATCATCATCATCATCATCATCATCATCCCCCTCCCCCTCCCCCTCCTCCTCCTCCTCCTCTTCCTCCTCCTCCTCCTCCTCCTCCTCCTCCTCCTACTCCTCCATTCCTTTTCCTTATAAACAGCTTCTCATTTTCGCACCGCGAGGCCAGTTTTTAAGGCGAGCCGGGCGTTTCGCCTGCGACTTCCTCACCACTTACGCTTCTGAAGCTGAAGAAATGGCAACAGTTTCACAGATGGAGGGCGGGTGGTTTTCAAAATGTGGCTCTCGCCTTAGCGCCGCGCAGATTCAATTTCAACATTTGCAAAAGCTTCACGGATTAAGGGTGGTCGTTTTCAAAATGTGGTTCTTGCCTTAGAGCCGCATACCTTCCTTCTTTAAAAACTTGAAAGGACTTCACGGAGTGAGGGCGGGTCGTTTTCAAGATGTGGCTATCGCCTCAGCGCCGCGCACATTCGTTCTAAAAAATGTGGCGAGGGTTTCACGGATTGAGGGCGGGTGGCTTCAAAATGTGGTTCTCGCCTTAGCGCCGCGCACATTCATTTTAACAAATTGCAAGAGCTTCACGAATTGAGGGCGGGACGTTTTCATAATGTGGTTCTCGCCTTAGCGCCGCGCACATTCATTTTAACAAATTGCAAGAGTTTCACGAATGGAGGGCGGGTCGTTTTCAAAATGTTGCTCTCGCCTTTGCGCCGCGCACATTCGTTTAAACAAAATTCAAGAACTTCACTGGTTGAGAGCGGTCCCTTTTCAAAATGTGGCTCTCGCCTTTGCGCCGCGCACATTCGTTTTAAACGTTTGCAAGAGTTTCACGGAATCGAACGGTCAACGTACCAGATATGGTGTGTTGGAAGGGTTCAGGACGATGCGGGCGCAACAATCATGTTGATTCGCGGTTTTGAAATCCTAAAAATGGCGTTCTGGCACAATTCCAGATCGTCAGGACGCAGAAGTCAAGTCAGGTTGACCTGTGGCCTGGAAATCCCGATAACCTTTTTTTGCATGCGTCAAGGCCTTCAAACGGTTGTCTTCCAACGAGGCAGTTCCCTCAATGGAAATGAACCGGATGGGGGCCTCTGAGGAGGGAGCTTGGAAGGCGGGTTAGTTCCAACATCGTTGGTGGCTCTTGAGTTTACAATGGTCCTCCTCCTCCTCCTCCTCCGCCGCCTGCTCCTCCTCATCATCATCCTGCTCCTCCTCCTCCTCTTCGTTTTCTCCTTGGTGTGCTTACTGGTATTACGTGTCTTCCTCTGATTCGTCTTCGACATATTATTATTAGTCTGTTTATTATTATTATTACTCTTCGTATTAGTATAATTCGTCTTCCAAATCTTCTTATTCAAATTCTTATTCGTAGTAATAGTGTTCTGACCATTAGTATGTAGCATATTTGTATTGGTATCTTAGTCTTGCCATTACTATGATTATCATTATCCTCCTCCTCCGCCTCCTCCTCCTCTTCCTCCTCTTCCTTCCTCCTCGTCCTCGTCCTCATCCTCATACTCCTCCTCCTCCTCCTCCTCCTCCTCCTCCTCATCCTCGGCCCTTCTCAAAATAAGTTCCATGATATCTACTTCTACCAGGGCCTTGAAAGCCCCGAGAGCCCTCATGGGCAGTAACATTGGAACATTGCCCTCCCCCACGGTTAGATCCAAAAGATCTTGGGCCATCCCGAACGGGGTAACCGCAACCCGTACTGCCTTATCGAGTGCAGGTCCGAATTCAAAAAGATCTTGAACCCTTCGAAGTGATCCTAGGCTGCTAAGGGCTCCAACTCCTTCCAGGAAAACTCCAAAGACTCGCACTGCCCCCAATAGGCCCCCCAGAAGATCCCGAGGATGATGAAGACGATGTGGCACTCTGGAGGCTGGAAGGGCCCGCTGTTGACTACAATGATGTTTGTACTTCGACTCGCACTCCAGGTGCTCGCCCTCCGACTCGCAGCCTCCTGTCTCATCATGCGCCGTCGCACCACCGACGAAGACGGACTCCGTCTTGCTGTTGCCTGCTGCCACCGCCGCAGCTCCACGAGCGTCGAGCGGGTCGACTGCGTATGGTCCTGAAGCTCGAAGTGTACAAGAGATGCACGCATGGAGGGCGGGTGGTTTTCACGATGGGGCTCTCGCCTCAGCAGCCCACCCATTCGTATGGTGTAGCACTGAGTATTCTCAACATAGGTGTGTCGCGTTGGCGCCACGACCGTTCGTCGTAAAGCTCGCGACAGCTTCAAAGGAGGGAGCACGAGTCGCCGTCGACGGGAGACTCTCGCCGTAGCGCCGCGCAGAATTCAAAATTCGAATGACGGATGGGGTCGTTCTCAAAAATGGAGCTCTCGCCTCGGCGCCGCGAACAGTCGTCTCAATTGTGTACAACAGAAAAAAAAGATGGCCATCGCTCGGACGTCCACTCCCTGTGTTTTTTTCGGTTTCGCGAGTGTTTTTTCCGCCAGATGGTCGAGGATGCTCCTCGATGGCCCTCGCCGAAGGAAAAATGCACACGTCCGAGCGATGCCAAGAAAAGGGATGGAAGGAGGTTCCGTTTCACCATGGGGTTCTCGCCTTCGCGCCGTGCACATGCATCTGCAAGCCTGCGAAAGCTAGAAAGAGGAAGAGGGGGTCGACTTCAAAAATGGGGCTCTCGCCTGACCTCCACGGACGCTCGCTCGAAAAGCTTGCCAAAACTAGAAGGATGGAGGGCGGTTCCGTTTGAAAATGAGGCCTTCGCATGGCACATCTGAAAGCTCACATTCGAGCAGATGGAACAGCGGCCCGGATAGAGGGCGGCTCGGTTTCAAAACGGGGCCCTCGCTTGAGACTTCCATCAAGTCCATGACCTGCAGAATTAACTTCTGCAACAGTGGAATGGGGGCGGTGAGTACTCAAGTGACAGGGGATCCCGCTGGACACCTCTCTGAACTTCAGTAACGGGGATCCCGCTGGACACCTCGCTGAACTGTATGATCATACCTCTTTGAGCTCCTCAACAGTTCCCTGATAAGATGCAATGCGATTCCTTTTCAAAGCGAAGCTCACACGTGAATGGCAGGCCCAGAGGGTGGTCTTTCGAGGGGGACGCTTCTCGTAGTAAGAAGGACGGCTTGTAGGGACCTATAAGGACGAACTTGAGAACGGCAGGTTGAATTGCAGCATCGTTGATGTAGCTTGGGTTTACTCTTGTCGTCCTCCTCATCCTCGTCCTCCTCCTTCTCCTCCTCCTTGTCCTTCTCCAGCTCATTCTGCATCCCCCCTCAGATTCCTCATGATCATGCTCCTCCCACTCCTCCTCCTCCTCCTCCTCCTCCTCCTCCTCCTCCTCCTCCTCTCCTCCTCCTCCTCCTCCTCCTCCTCCTCCTTCCTCCTCCTCCTCCTCCTCCTCCTCCTCCTCCTCCTCCTCCTCCTCCTCCTCCTCATGTTCCTCCTTCTCCTCCTCCTCCCCCTCCTCCTCCCTCTCCCTCCCGCCTGACCACCGTCCCTCCTTCTCCTCCTGCTCCTCCTCCTCCCAGTCCTACCGCAGGCCGCCTGAACGTGCGGGTCGTCCATCGCGAAGCCCCACTCGGACAGCCAGTGCACCTCGAGGGCACCCCGCTCCCACCGGCTGGCTTTCGTCGAGGGGGCCACCCTTGGCCAACTCGTCCGACACACACACACACACACACACACACACTCACCGCCGACTGACCCCGACCCTACCGAGGTGTTGCTCTCTTCGGCCCCTGGAGGGTCGACGCCCACTCGACCAGCCAGAGCTCGACGAGAGCTCCAAGACAGCGGCACCGATTTCCAATCACACTTCAGTGGGCCACCTTCCGGCTCGGGAGCCGACTCGGCAAAATGGTAGCGAACGTGTTTCACCAGAACCGAATCCTCTTCCAAAATGCTTTCACGTCCTTCTCCTCCTCATCATCCTCGTCTTTGTCGTCGACATGATCGTGCTGTTCCTAACGCTCTCGGGGGTCGGCGGAATGGCGTAAGCCTAGTGAGTAAGACATGTGCCTCATCACCCCCCCTGGACCTACCCTTCCCGTCGCTGGCGACCTGTTGCACTTCACTCGATGGATACGGCGCACAGGGCGCATACAGTCCAGAGCCACAGCATGCAAACAGAGGAGGACGACGACCACCACCACCACGGGGAGGACGAAGCGGAGGACGACGAAGAGGGAGAGGAGGGGGTGACGAGGATGAATGAGGACGGAGGACAAGGACAAGGAGGACAAACACTGGTAACCCCAGGATGCATCAACAATGCTGGTACACGCATGGCCTTCCCATGTTGCCTCCCCATGCATTCCGCTTCACTGCGGGAAACGCCCCTTCGGAAAGACCAGCAGTCTGGCGGCTTGCCATTCTAGCGAGAACCCAAGTTCGAAAAAGGTGTTCCCTCGATCAAGCTGCGTACGTAATCACGTATGGTGGTAGCGAAACACGTCTTGAAAAGAACCGCCCTCCACCGCCGAACCACGCGCGCGCTTCGCGCGCGCGCTCAGGTCCTAGCGTAGGGCAGGGCACTGTCACGACACAATGGGCTCATGCTACGATGCCTCGTGGTGCTGACGCCAGCCTGCGCCACCTGCCCGCGATTGTCGGACCAGCTCGCTCCGAACCTTCGCTTGCCGAATCCTCCAACATGCCTTACATACCTTCCTCGCTAATCATCCAGCCTCTTAGGGGGAAAGATGCAAACTGTGAGTTGGAGGTCCCCCACTTGGATTCCTCTCGTGGACGTCTTGGGCAGTATCAGATTGGGCCGTCGCGAAGACCTCTTGCTGGGCCTCTTGAGGCACTATTGAGGACCTCTTGGGCCGTGTTGGAGCCGCCTTACGGGGCCTCTCGGGCCATCTTGGATGCAGAGAATGCCCGTCAGGAAGAAGGGAGCACGAGAGCGGAGGACGGAGGAGGAGGAGGAGGAGGAGGAGGCGGGCTGTGGTGGGGGCACACGGGCCACATCCAGCTGCAATACCTCCTGCCCCGTCACCTCACCAGACGCATCTATGTGTGTTTCCCCCCTGGCCCACCCCCCACCCCACACCCTCTACGATCCTCATCCTATTCCTCGATCCTGCTACACCTCCTCCTCCTCCTCCTCCTCCTCCTCCTGCTCTTCCTCCTTTCCTCCTCCTCTGTTTCCTCCTCCTCCTCTTCCTCCTCCTCTTCTTCCTCCTCCTCCTCCTCCTCCTCCTCCTGCTCGTCCTCCTCCTCCTCCTCCACCGCCGCTTCCACCTCCTCCTCCTCCTCCTCCCCCCTCCTCATCCTCCTCCTCCTCCTCCTCCCCTCCTCTTCCTCCTCCTCCTCCCCCTCTTCCTCCTCATCCTTCTCCTCCTCTTCGCCATCCTCCTCATCCTCCGCCTCCTCGTCCTCTTCGCCATCCTCCTCCTCCTCCTGCTCCTCCTCCTCCTTCTCCTTATCCTCCTCCGCCTCCTCCCTCCTCCTCCTTCTCCTCCTGCTCCTGCCCCTCCTCCTAATCCTCCTCCTCCTCCTCGTCCTCCGCCTCCTCCTCCTCCTCTTCATCCTCCTCCTCCTCGTCCTCCTCCTCGTCCTCCTCCTCTTCCTCCTCCTCCTCTTCCTCCTCCTCCTCCTCCTCCTCCACTTCCGCTTCCTCCTCCTCCCCTTCCTCCTCCACCTCATCGTATTATTCGTCGCATTCGTAGTAGTAGTCGTCGTAGTACCCTTAGTCATCTTCTTCTGTATTAGTAATATTCTTCTTGTGTACATTATGAATATTATTCCTCGTATTAGTGGTATGGTTTATTCTTAGTATCATTAGTAATACTAGTACTGTTAGTATTGGTATAGTATTGCTATTCGTAGTTTTAACACTTGTAGTAGTGGAAGTAATGTTAGCATTATTAGTAGTATTACTAGTGATAGTACTAGTCGCCGTCTTCTTCGTAATATGCGTATCTGATCCTCCTTCATCTAGTATTAGTACTATGATCCTCTGAACTTAGATTTTGCGTCAGCGGGACGCCGCTAGGCTACACAATGCGACGCAGCCCAGCAACAGGTAACGCAAAGTGCTGAAGAAGGCTCCAACAGGCCCCAAAAGCTTGCTGCATTTAGGCATCGCTAAGTCCAGCAAGTGCACCTGCGTATAAAAAGGCTCGAAGAGGTCCCGCATTTTTCTTCACTTAGGCAGCTCCAAGTGCAGCAAGTGCGTCTGCGTGCCGACTGATACCTAGGAGCGCGATGCATCACACTGGACTTGAGGAATGGGCCTGCCAGGGGGTGATTTTGCAAGTGCGTTCGGGCCCTCACTCCTGGAGTCAACAAGGAAAGCAGTGGCATACGCGCCGCCGCCGCCGCGGCAGCCGCAAATCCATGGCCCTGTCAACCACACCTTCCGTTTCCCGGGGACCGACCCTTAATTCCCCTTGGGCGCCGGGAGATGTTACAATGCAAGCCCAACATGAAACAACATAAGATTGACGCTGCTGGGGTCTTAATGAAGCTTGCTCCGCACGGATATTGTGACCACCACACCGCTTCGCTCTATACAGTCCCAAAACGCGCGGACAGCGCTGCACTGTGCTTTACTCCCCTGCCACTGCTGCCCCACCCGGCAGGGCAAACAAGTCCGGCCCCCCCTCGCGAGGACGAGAGCGGAAAACGAAAGGGGAAAAAATGCGACATGTTTTTTCCACGGATGCTACTATGCTGCCGCAAATGTTATCCCACTTAGTGGGATTGTTAGCCTCGTACGCGCTGTGCCTATCGCGGTGACCCAAGTCAGCGATGCAAGAAACGGGGAGAGGCACTCGGAATGAGCGGGAATATTAACATAGCTGGGAACATCAGATTGCGCGGCATGGAAATTGTGCCCACCGCACCGTTTCGCTTTGTTTTGTCCCAAAACGCGCGGACAGCGATGTACTCAGGTTTACTCCCCTGCCACTGCTGCCCCGCCCGGCAGGGCAGACAAATCCTGCCCCCCGTCGCGAGCACGAGGGCGGAAATGGAAAAGGAGAGAACACGACATGTTGTCACGGCAGCTACTGCATGAGGCCGAAGCTGCTACCCCACTTAATGGGATTGTTAGCGTAGTCCGCGCTATGTGCGGGAGCACGCGCCTGCGAACCTCCTCACGTGCGGGCGCGCAGATGCAGCCTCGACTGAGGACGAGCCGGGCGAGGTCCCCAGCTATGTCTGTTGAGTCGGTCTGGCCGAAACAACTGTACAACGAGCCGCATGCTGATTGGGCATGCGGCGCATAGCCTTCGCCCACGACCGAGCAGAGTTCCAGCGATGCCGGCCCTAGCCTGAACAGGTGCGGCGCTAAGGGTGCCAGGAATCCCGCCGTGAATGTTGAGTCGAGCTGGCCGCAACAACGGACCGCGAGCTAGTTGGGCATGCTGCGCATAGCCTTAGCCGACAATCCTAGCAGAGTTCCTAAGATCCTAAAGAGGGGGAGTGAGAAGGCAGTGGAGCAGGCCAGCTGGGGGTTGGGCGGAGGAGCGGCCAAACGAGGTGGGAAGGGAAGTCGATCGATTGGGGCTGCGATGGATGGGCACAGCACGTGGGAGGGGACGAGGGGTGGAACATGCCGCACTGGATGTGCATGGAGTGAAGAGCAATAGCTTCGGGTCTAAGGCCTAGCCCGACACTCTACTGGCCTGAGTCACCCAGGTGGCGAAACCCCAGCGAACTCAAGGGAGACGCACTTCGGAGATCACGTGTCTCCTTTCAGGCCGCCCGTGCTTCCTCCCCGAATACCCAAACCTGGGGCCATGCACACATTTGGCACGGGGTCAGCAACTGCGAGGAGGAGGACGACGAGAAGGACGAGGACGACCAGGACAACGACGAGGACGAAGGCGGAGAATGACGAAGACGAGGATGACGTCGACGGCGGGCGCTGGCAACTGCGAGGAGGAGGATGACGAGAAGGACGAGGACGAGGACGACCAGGACGACGACGGAGGACGAGGACGGAGGAGGACGACGAAGTGAATGAGGTCGGCGGAGGGCGCCGACAACTGCGAGGAGGAGGAGACGAGAAGGGCGAGGACCAGGACGACGGACGACGACGGATGACGAGGGCGGAGGACGACGAGAAGGACGAGAACAAGGACGACCAGGACGACGACAAAGACGACGAGGACGACGAGGATGACCAAAAGGTTGAGGTCGACGGAGGGCGCCGGCATCTGCGAGGAGGAGGACGACGAGAAGGACGAGGACGAGAACGGTGACCAGGACGACGACTACGACGACGAGGACGAAAAAGAACGACGAGGTTGAGGTCGACGGAGGGCGCTGGCAACTGCGAGGAGGAGGACGACGAGCTGGACGAGGACGAGGACGATCAGGACGACGACGAGGACGAAGAGGAAGCGAGGAGGACGACGAAGAGGTTGAGGTTGACAAGAGGGCGCCAGCAACTGCGAGGAGGACGACCAGAAGGACAAGGACGGGGACGACCAGGACGGGGACAACGACGAGGACGGAGGAGGACGACGAGGACGTTGAGGTCGACGGAAGGTGCCGGCAATTGCGAGGAGGAGAACGACGAAAGGACGAAGGCGACGACGACAACGTCGACGACGACGACGACGAGGGCGACGACGAGGACGAGCCCAACCACCCGGCGAGCGGGGCCTGATCCCGCTCCACCCTCGGGGAGTCGCCTTCCGGGGAGCTGCCTGCCGCGCCGGGCTCGGCGCTCTCTGGGCCCGCTTTCCTTCTCTCTCTCTCTCTCTCTCTCTCTCTCTCTATATATCCCTCCCCCTCTCTCTATCTCTCTCTCGCTTTATGTATCCATCTCTCTCTCTTTCTCTGCATATGCAGATGCACATACATACACAGCGATGCGTACATGCAAACATACAAGCATGCATACATATATATACAGACATACGAACATACATGCATACATATACACATACGTATACAACGACATATACAACTACGTAGACATATGCATGCACATATACCTACACATATATACATGTATATACACCTATGCATAGACGTGCACATATACACATACATACACATATACCCCATATATATATATATATATATATATATATGCACAAATACACATATATATATATATATATATATATATACATATACATACAAACCTAATACATATACATATACATGTACATATACAGATACCTATACATATGCATGCGCATATACATATCTATACACATATACATATACACATGGGTATACATATACATTTATACACGTACATATACCTATACATATGCATAAACATATACATATACATATATATATATACATATACGCGTGTATATACATATACATGTACGCACGTATACGTATACATATACATTTACATATACATCCGCATATGCATATACATATGTGTATGCATATGAATATGCATATGTAAACACATATACATATAAATGTACCTACACATAAACATATACGCATACATATACATATATATATATGTGTATATATGTACAGATACATCCATGTAAAGAATATACGCATCACATACATACGCATGTGTTTATACGCGTACGTATGTATATGCATACGCATTACATCTGCAAATAACTCTACATTTATATACACATACACATATACATGCACATATACATATGCATATACCTATACATATACATATACATATATACAGACAGACAGGCAGGCAGGCAGACAGACAGACATGCATCCATAAATACATACAAACATACATACACTCCAAATTTAGTAATAAAAGGGAGGGGGCAAAAAGCAGGTCTAGACCCCCCCTAGACTAGCCTTGAAAGCGGCCTTTCAGCTCAAATCAGACCCCCTCCAATCAGACGACCACCCTTTCATTGTGAAATCCGAAATACCCCAAACGGTAATTGCCCTTACGCCCTTACGGGTTCATGCTGCTCTTCAAAGGAACTGGGCCAGGGGATCTGCCTGGCGGCTCCGTGGTCGCCGTCGCCACCCCGTCGCCGCCCTGTCGCCGCCCTGTCGCCGCCTAGATTGCACAACGTGCACAACATAGATTGCACCGCCTATAGTGCGCCACATCGATTGCACCACATATTTTGCATTCCCAAGAAAGTGTTGGGATCTACCCGCCCCCCCAGGACTTAACGGGCCGCCCTCGTATTGCAACTTACATACGATTACGCCCCATCGCCCGTCCGAACCAGTCCGGTAACCGTTCCCCCCTTCATCCCCTGCCAAAAAATACTGTGCGCGCACACTCGTTGAACAAAAACCTTAGATGTCTGTAGCCCTTACAGGAAAAAAGGACCAAGTGCACACGCGCGCATTGTCGAGCGCATGCCGAAATCCTTTGAGAAACCTTAGGTCTCGCAGTGATGTCAGAATCGAGTGCCACGAGAACATAAGCAAAAACAGATGGTTTCACACCAAGTATGTTCAATGAAAATTGGGCTCGCGCTCTTGCAAATTAGCCTGGCGAAGGACCCAAACATAAGCGGCTGTGAAGATCGTCTTTGTACGCACCGCATTCGGAGGAGCTCCCTACAGGTTCGTGTCGTGCCGACCCCAGCGTTGGTTTTTGACACCGCAGGGATCGTTCAGCCTTGAACGATCGGCCGCTGCCGCAACGTCCGATCGTTCAGCATCGATCGATTCTGGGTCGCCGGCGGCGTTCAACCTCGAACGCCCGCGCTGGGGTCGCCGCTGGTCGACACGACGCGAACCTGCCGTACAGGGCCGTACCAAGATCAGCTCACGGCAGAGGGACACCGCACCTCTCCTCGACTCGGTGCGCGGCCGCGGACCACCCGAGGTGCGCAGCCTGCGAGGCGGGGGCTATCCATACAGTCGAGTCACATACTCCAGCTTTCGCAAGAAAGGGAGGGGGGTCTCATTTCGGGGGAGGGGGGTCTCTTCCAGGCTATCTTGGAGGGCCTGGGGGGGTCTGGGGACGACGTTTTGGAGGGTTCTCCCACGAGGGGGGGTCTGAAATGGCTCGTCTGGGAGGGTCCAGACCCCATCCCTTTTATTACGAAATCTGGAGTAATAGGCGGGGAGACGTAAGACTCGGGTTCAGGGCAACTCGGGTTGGCCTGACGGGGCCACCAACAAAAATGACGAGACCCAGCCTGAAATTTGCCGCGAACTCCCGCTGCACACATTGCGCCAACTGGACCGTCAACATCCAGGACCAGCCCGTCAAAAAGCGTCGGGAAAGCCGAGTTCCAGCGAACTCGAGTCTTACGGCTCCCCGGAACAAGGATGCGCGGTAAGGATGCAAGGGCCTTGGAGGGCCATGCTTGCGTTTTCGCTCGGGGCTGGCCAGCGAAAGTCGCCACGGATGGGCCGAAGGAGCAAGGATGCATGGGCAGCCTTGGGCAGCTGTCCGTCCTCCCTATGCGCCTTGACTGTAGGCACCGCGTGGGGAGCCGAAGTCCTGGGACCCCAGGGGGGCGGTGGACATGGATAGAATCCCCCTGGGGCCCGAGTATGCCCAGGTGGTGGTCCCCGAAGATCGATCCCCCAGGTGGTGGTTACAGGATCAGTCGACATCGAATCGGGAGATCGGATCGAATCTGAATGTGCGTCGGATCAGGCCGCCTCGGCGCGGAGTCGCAGTCGAATGAGATCGGGCTGGCCGACATCGATATCGAGTCGGATCGTTCGGATGGTTACCCATCGGTCGGAAGAAGTAGGTAGAAACATGAAGTAGGAAGGCGTATAAAGTAGAAAGGGTTCGGGCCCGCCCAGAGCGTAACAAAGCACAGATCGATTATTGAAGCAGGAAGGCACTTGAAGTAGATTGGGTTATGGGTAATTATCCAAAAATATATACTTTCAAAGACAGATGAGCCCTCTGTCTTGGCGGCGCGCAAAAGGGAGTTAGGGGGAGGGGGGAAGGCTTCTTAGAAGAAGGCTGCCTCCGAGAAGGCATGGGCCTTATACCTACAGACAAGGCCCGCGCCTTCTGAGAAGAAAGAGTGCTTCTTAGAAGCCTTCCCCCCTCCCCCTGCCACCCTCTACGCGTGGCCGACTGTGGTTATGGATCAATCCCCGCCTCGAACAAATCGACCGCCGCCGGCGCCGCACCTCGCGCCGCTGCCCCTGCCAGGCGTCGGGGCGGGGAGAGGCAGCCGGGGCGAGGCCGTCCTCCCGGTCCTCCCCGCAGCAGCCCCGCCACGGCGCTGGAGTAGCGCTGCAGGAACTGGGCGGCAGGCGCGGCAGGAGAGGGAGGAGCGGAAAGGGAGCCAAACGTAATCAGCTACCATCCCGCGATTCGCGCCTGCGAGAAACTCGGAGAAGGCGCCGTGGCAGCGTCGTGCGCATGCGCCGCTGGGCATCCGGGTGCGGCTCGCGCGCAAAAAAGCGCGCGGGGGTATGCCTCCTCCAGGAGCAGCAAGAGTTACCAGCCTCGAACGTATCCCTATCCCTAAGATTGACACGCCCCAAGGCCATGACGATCCCAGGGACTCGCCCTCAAAAAATACAAGCGAACCCCTAAGATTGGCAACGTGGTGAGGAGGTGCCCAGCATAGGGATAGGGATACCCCAGATTTCGTAGTAAAGGGAGGGGGGTCTCATTTCGGGGGGGGGTCTCTTCCAGGCTATCTTGGAGGGCCTGGGGGGGTCTGGGGACGACGTTTTGGAGGGTTCTCCCACGGGGGGGGGTCTGAAATGGCTCGTCTGGGAGGGTCCAGACCCCATCCCTTTTATTACGAAATCTGGAGTAATAGGCGGGGAGACGTAAGACTCGGGTTCAGGGGAACTCGGGTTGGCCTGACGGGGCCACCAACAAAAATGACGAGACCCAGCCTGAAATTTGCCGCTGCCTGGGGGGGTCTGGGGACGACGTCTTGGAGGGTTCTCCCACGGGGGGGGTCTAAAACTTCTCGCCTGGGAGGGTTGAGACCCCCTCCCTCGAGCCGACCCGCCGCCTCCGCGTCACCCTCCTCCTCGGAGTAGACGGGGGAGGAGGAGGAGGAGGAGGAGGAGGAGGAGGAGGAGGAGGAGGACTTGAAGGAGGAGGAAGAGGAGGAGGAGGAGGAGGAGAAGGAGGAGGAGGGGAGGAGGAGGGGGAGGGGGAGGAGGAGGAGGAGGAGGAGGAGCAGGAGCAAGCAGGAGCAGCAGGAGCAGGAGCCAGAGCGGCCGGCACCGGAGCGGAGAACTCGGCTCGGATCGGGGCGTGCGCCGGACCGGGCCGCCTCGGCGCGGCGTCGGAGTCGGCGCGGCTCGGGCACGCCGGGCTGCCCCGCGGCGCCGGGCATCGGGCCGCGTCGGCTCGTCGGGGAACATCGGCATCGAAGCGGCGCGTGCTGGCCGGAAGCGATCGGGCCGGATCGAGCGGGGAGAGAAGGCGGGGTGAGGGGGGGTGACGGCGCTCCAAGGGAGCCCGACGGTCAGGCAGGGAAGGCACGGGGGCAGGTTCCCCCTCACCCGACCGCTCGGCACCGCACACGGCGGCCCCGCGCATGCGCAGGAGATGCCAGCCCACATGCCCGTGCCGAAGCGGCTCCCCTCCAGGCGGTGAGGCGGGGGGAGGGAGAAGGGGGAGGGGGAAGAGGGGGCGTCACTGTGGGCATTCACGAGTTTACTCCCGCTCTTGTAGGCGCATCTGGGCTGTGTGTTCTTGTCTGCGCCTCGAGCTGGAGCATGCCATGGGCGCCCAAAAGAGGGAGGGGCGGTGGGAGGGTGAGGAGGGGAGAGGAGAGGAGGGGAGGGGCGGGGACTGGGGACGGGCAAGCCAAGCTCACCTCATGGGGAGAACGATAAACAGCATGAAAAAAGTACCTCGGTTTCTACCTCCACCTTGGAGAGGGGACCCGTCATGGCCCAGGGGCCCTCACCCCCAAGCCCTCCCCGTAGTCGAGGGCTGGCCCGTCCACAAACGATTCAATCTGCCCTGTGCCATGGCTGGGCGGCCCTTGCACCCGCTCCTGCTAGGGGGCCACTTGGTGCACCCTACCCCTACCCCTACCCCCCACGATTTTTTTCTGAGGGGAGGGTGGGGTTCACTTCGTTCTGGAGCTCCAGAGCGAAGTGAGGCCCCACCCTCCCCCTCAGAAATCGTGGGGGGTAGGGGTAGGGTTCGCATGTGGCCCCCTACCTGCGGAGAGCAGGCACACACATTCTGCAGAAGAAGGCATGGCCTGGTCGGAGCACGAGCCGGCGCCGATTTTTCGGTACCGGCTCTGCCCCGAGAGCCGCGTCTGGGCCCTCGGGTGGCCCTCCTGACCCGGGGAGAGGGGGTACCTGACCAAACAGCTGCAACGCATGCTGCCACCAGACGCCGAGCTCAGGCTCACGTTGCGGCAGCTGGCCCCACAACATCAGTGCCCACTTGCAGGGCAATGCTGCAAAAAGTGGTGCGACAGAGAGTCATGAGGTGTTCCTGGCAGTGATTACGGGTTGACCTGACAAGGCACAAGCACTCGCGATTTCGCCAGAAGGCACTCTACTCCCACAACCTCAAGATTCACCACCACTGTGTCAGTGGCACCCTGGACCATAGCGGGGAGTCTAAGATACTGGCAGTGGAATGTACGTGGACCCAGGGCACGTCGGACTCTCCAACATCTGTTACCACGAGGTCTGCGGCCTTGATCTGGTTCTTCCATTCTCTCCCATTCACCTTGCGGCAACGGCGCCTTTTATGCGACTATGGATAGCGGCATCTGGCGACAGTTTTGCACTCCAGCTGATGATGTCTGCCTCAAGATCCACCTGCCACACCTGATCAGACACCTACAACACATGCTACCACAAGACACCTATCTCAGGCCCACATTGCCGCGACATGACCAGCAACATCAACACCCGCTTGCAAGGCAAGGATCCTAACAAATGTCAGAGTGTTTTACAGTGGAACATCAGCGAGCTGAACGCACAGAGTGGCACGCCGTCAGGGTACCTCAATAAGCCGCCAACGACCTCACTCTGTCTTCCAATGTGATACGACTGAGCGCCATGAGGTGGTACTGGCAGTGATTACGAGTTGACCTGACAAGGCACAAGCACTCGCGATTTCGCCAGACGGCACTCTACTCCCACAACCTCAAGATTCACCACCACGGTGTCAGTGGCACCTTGGACCATAGCGGGGAGTCCCAGATACTGGCAATACAATACTATCTACGCAGGCCCACAGCACGTCGAACTTTCCAACACCCGCGACCACCGACCTATGCGGCATCGCCCTGCTTCTTCCATGCCCTCTCGTTCGCCTTGCGGCTACGGCGCCTTTATGCGACTGTGGCGAGCAGCATTTGGCAGCAGATTTGCACTCCAGATGATGACGTCTGCCTAAGGACCCACCTGTAACACCTGACCAAGCAACTACAACGAATGCAGCCACAAGACACCTATCTCAGGCTCACATTGCGGCAAGTTGCCCAGCAACATCAGTGCCCGCTTGCAAGGCACTTCTCCTAACAGACGTCAGAAGCATCTGCAGAGGACGTACAGAGCATCACCAGGCTGAACGCAAGGAATGGTACGCCATCATGCTGCCTCCATTAGCCGCCAACGACCTCGACGCATATATCACTGTGATACGGCTGAGCATCATGAGGTGTTACTGGCAGTGATTACGAGTTGACTTGACAAGGCACAAGCACTCGCGATTTCGCCAGACGGCACTCTACTCCCACAACCTCAAGATTCACCACCAGTGTCAGTGGCACCTTGGACCATAGCGGGGAGCCCCAGATACTGGCAATGGAATATACGAAGGCCCAGGGCACGTCGGACTCTCCAATATCAGCGACCACCGATGTATGCGGCACCGCCCTGCTTCTTCCATACCTTCAGGCCCACATTGCTGCAGTTTGCCCAGCAACGCCAGCGCCCGCTGGCAAGGAGATCCTCCTATCAGACGTCAGTGCGTCCTGCAGTGGAACATCGCCAGGCTGAACGCAAAGAGGGGCACGCCTTCAGGGTACTTCAGTAGGCCGCCAACGACCTCGACGCATACGTCGCTGTGATACGACTGAGCGTTATGAGGTATGACTGGCAGTGATTACGAGTTGACCTGACAAGGTGCAAGCACTCGCGATTTCGCCAGAAGGTATTCTGCTCCCATCACCTCAAGGTTCACCACCACGGTGTCGGTGGCACCTTGGACCATAGCGGGGAGGCTCAGATACTGGCAATGGAACATCACCAGCCCTCAGGGCGTAGGCAGTTTAACAAGCTCGTTCTTCCAACGGTGTCTTCCCCATCGGGGAGGGGTTTACCCATCCGTATACCCCCTCCCCTGAGTCTGGACGGAGAGGGAGGGCGAGCGCAAGATGGCCCACGATGGTTTCCAAATGGCCGCTAGTTCAAGATGGCGCAATCTAGCCTACAGCCTGCCCCCAAGAGACCCCGAGACCGCCCAAAGGCGGGTCCAAGTGGCCACCGAGCCTCCCAAGGATGCCCCTGAGAGGCGAAACCCTCTTCCATCAAGTAAGGAATCAATGTGTTTCCCACCTCAGGACCAAATTGCCGCAACTTGACCAGCAGCATGAACACTCGCTTGAAAAGCAATTCTCCTAACAAATGTCAGAGTGTTCCGCAGTAGCGCATCACCAAACTGAACGCAAAGAGGGGCACGCCTTAAGCCGCCAACGAACTCACTCTGTCTTCCAAAATGATACGACTGAGCACCATGAGGTGGTACTGGCTGTGATTACGAGTTGATATGACAAGGCACAAGCACTCGCGATTTCGCCAGAAGGCATTCTGCTCCCACAACCTCAAGGTTCACCACCACCGTGTCAGTAGCACCTTGGACCATAGTGGGGAGTCCCAGATACTTACAAAATAAAATTATCTACGCAGGCCCGCAGCACGCCGGACTCCCCAACATCGGCGTCCACCAACTTAAACGGCATCGCATTGCTTCTTCCATGCCCTCCCGCTCGCATTGCGGACTTCCCGTTTGCATTGCGGACTTACAGAGCATCACCAGGCCGAACGCAAGGAGTGGTGCGCCACCATGATGCCTCCATTAGCCGCCAATGACCTCGACACATATGTCACTGTGATATGACTGAGACTCATGAGGTGTTACTGGCAGTGATTACGAGTTGACCTGACAAGGCACAAGCACTCGCGATTTCGCCAGAAGGCCCTCTACTCCCACAACCTCAAGATTCACCACCACAGCGTCAGTGGCACCTTGGACCATAGCGGGGAGCCCCAGATACTGGTAATGGAATATACGCA